GCCTTCTTGCTACGGTGAACGGTCGTGGAGAAGGAAGAGGAGGTAGTTCTAGCGAGGGGTGAGCATCTTCGCGCTGCAAGACGAGCTGCACGAGCAAGCATGTAGCGCAGAGGTGGATGGTCGTACGGATGAGGACTGTCCTGGTCAAGGCAAGCTCTCGGAGTCGTAGGCGCGCTCTCCACCCACGGCGGGCGTCAAGGCTATAGCAAGGTTGCCGTCCTCCTCTTCCTTGGGTTACGGTACGCACTGCGCTCCGAGTCGGAACTCACAGGCTATCCAAAAGCCGCCAGTAATATCTCGAATGACTGGGTTGTGGTTTCGGAAATGGGTCATCGTACGTTCACCGTCTTTTCGAGCCACCTTGAGGGCAGTACGACTGCTCCTACCTACTCACTTGAGTTCTATTATAGCGATTGTCTTCGCTATGAGAAGTTTGTTGTCCTCAGATACTCTAAAGCCCCTTCAAGAGAGCTTCTATAGCCGCTTCAACTTGGCATGCGCTCGCTGATACTACGTCGGCTCTCACATAAGTACCCGGTCCGAGTTCCATCAAGCTCAGTTCTGGAGGCCGTACCTGGCCCGAGCATGCTTCGCCCATAGGCTCCGCAGTGGCAGGCAAAGCTCCAGGCACAGTTCCGTCAGTGAGGACGTGGAGGAACGACATACCCCATGGATGCCATGTGCGATGAGAGGTGCACACCTTCGCCTCTGCTCCAGCATTCGGCCTGTAAGTCGTGGCTCGTCGGGAATAGCTGATTCTAGCCGGTGAGGCCGGTGAGGCTTCGATCTACATACGAGTCTCTGCGCAATCAGGCGGCCCGCTGCTCCCATGCCTCATGTTCGCGTTCCTACTTTTCATCCAACCGATCGCGAGGGATGTTGTTCTCATGCAGCCGCATCATAGTGGAGTTGATGCTTTGACCTCAGTCCTCAGAGCTCTGGCTTCGGTAACCTGCTCATTCTATATAGGCACGAACATGGAACTACAGAGTTCGTGCCTTGACCTTCGGATTGTTTTGAACTTTGTTTGCCACTGCTCACAGTGGAGGTCCGAGAATCGGCTGGAGCGGCGCACACGGCGGCAGAACTACCATCAGATGAGTAGATCGAAGCAACGACAGTCCTCAGAGTGGTAGCGTATGCTCACACGCGGCTGCTCCCTATCCAAGATCAAGCACCCTTCCCTGTCATACTTTGATAGATGCAGTACAGATCGTACATCGGCGCTCCAGAATATGCTGCAACTGAACCTGCTCGTTATAAAGCTTGGCTCGGCCGTGTTATGCAGAACCATCTCCACCCTCCGGTATTGATAGGCTCAGCCTCCGGCCTACGACTGCAGTATGTCCTCCGATACAGATGCCGATGCTGCCGCGATGGCGGCTCTATTCAACCGCTTGTGCGTTCGTACATCTTCAGTCCCGCATACGGCGCCTGCTGACACCATCAATCAGCTATACAGAAGGATACTTACGTCTGGCGGTCACGAGTACGATCTGAGCTACTCCACTACATGGTCATTCTTAGCTTACAGTTCCTCCTCTCGCTATAGCTTTCTTCATATACGACGCCTTGATTACATTCGATCGAGAAGTCGCATGCTTCTGGACTGCGAAATGGAACGGGGCGCCGCTTTTGTATTTCACGAACAAGTGGATTTCCTTGACGCTCTATGTTCTGTCATTGGGTGCCTCTGCAACGTTCCCTTCAGACAAAGTGAGCCGTTTGTTTGTGACGTGATCATAACAACGCTGACTAGAAGCAGGTGTTAGTGTATACCGTTTCCATGCTATAGAGTTCGGCGGGATGACCGTGCACCTCTGCAGTTGCTCAAATTACGAGATTGCGATATCTTCGTTAACCAGAGTGCAATTCATCCCTGGAGCAGGTAAGCCACTGAACGTCCAGCCCTCCAAGTTCGGTCGTAGCCTCTACTCATCGCTCATCATCCTTCACAACAAGTCTTCTCCGCCCTCCGTGCATATGTACTAAGCAGGAGCAAGTTCCTCGGACTACTTGTACTGGCTTTATCTCTGGCGCCATTTGGTGCTAACCTGGTGAGTGGTACTTTACCTTTGATCTCACCAGCAAGACCCCGAGTGACGCATTGCGCAGGCTGCCTACCACTACGACGTCTCTGGCGTGAACTTCCCCCCGTTTGGATGCCTTTACACAGACAACACCGATGTTCCGATATCTCTAAAGTTTGGATATTCATTTCAACTCGTATCGATTGATACTGACCTCGCACAAGACGTAGGTTATTTAGCGATCATACGCAGCGGGACGTGCTCATCTAGGGTGCCGGTGCCGTAGTGGTTCTCATCTCTCGAGTACCGCTCATCGTTGCAGACTCTCTGCTCGTCTACATCACTTGGACGAAGCTTCGCAGCCAGCATTTACTACGAGATATCCGACACGCCAAGCGACTCTCACTTTCGGATGTCCTCTTCCGTGGTGGTAAGCTTCTCTCGCGGTATATGCATTGGACGTTGTCGCTGATGGATCGCTGTGATGCCGCGCACAGGGACGATATACTTTGCGTGCGTTTTCACAATATACCCATTGAGATTCCGACGCAAACACCAATCGTCATGACTTGCAGGGTTCTCTCCATCTTGAACATCGTCCACCTCGTCATTTCAGCGACCGCTGTAAGCAGCATCAGCCGTCTCTCTCCCCACTCATTGATTCACGCACATCCTCACGGCCACCTCACAGCTAGAAGGCTTCGCCCAAGGGAGCTATATCCCCATATTCACCGCGCCGTACGCATTCCTACCATCATGACACTTACCGTCTCCTCACCAACGCTTCCATCCGCAGCCTCACAGCGATCTTCATCTCGCGCTTCCTCCTCGAGCTGCAAGAAGCGAACCAAGCCGCTGTCAAAGGCGTCGACCTCGACGACCCGCTGCATTCTTCGGGGGACCCGTACGACTCCGCGCCGAGCTTCATCTCGTCCCTCGGAGGGTTCATCAACCCAGATGCTGCGCCGCGCGACGAGGATACCGAGTGGGATGTTGACTTGCGCTCGGGTGGTTTAGGGGAAGAGGAGGAGGGCGGAGTGCAGACTCCTAAGTCTCCGAGTGAGGTCGCTGCGTCGGCCTCCTCCGCGTAACATACAGTCGTCAGGGGGGCGGCTCCGAGTTTACGCTCACGCCTCGCTGTGCGTGGCTTGTTCTCGTATGATTTGTTTGTATTAGACGTAGAGACGCTGCTCTAGATGTACCATTCTCCTACTGTGTGGTCGGGTGGATGAAGACCGATTGTCACGTAGAGTCTCGGCTTTGGCGATGCTTGTCTATCGAAGAGCCCGCGCGGAGGCCGGGCAATGCTTGCTGGGTGGAAACAACACTTGCACACGACAGACCTGCAAGGCTTCGCCGCGATGCTGGTCTGGAGTCACGCGTGCCGTGGACTCTGCAACCCGGGCACATGCTGTATGGAGCTGCTCTGAACCTCACTGTGGGACACGGCTGCTTGTGAAACCGAACATGGTGAGTCCTTGCGGAACGACAAAAGCATGCAAACCTACGCTGAACAAATTTGCTGCCCGGCAACTGGGAGCGAGCACGTTCATTCGGCACAGGGCACGCGTCGGACAGGAGGTATGTCACGAAAAAGCCGCGCTGGTATATGTGCAAGCAAAGCAGCCAAGCAAAGCAATACAGCTAGAGTACAACCATACATAGATCCCCCGCGCACTCTCACCCGCGCAGAGCGTACACGGTCTTGCCATAGTAGTAGGCCGAAACGGCGGATGTCGCCGTGAGGACAGCCGGTACGGGGCCTTTGCTCGCGCGCGGGAGCGAGGAGAGGAGGAGGAGTGCAGACGCGCCTGGTGGTGCAGATTGGTGTTCGAGGAGGTAGAATGCAAGGAAAGACTAAAGGCTACTCACCGAGAGCAGTCTCGAGACCGTTCGCGGCGCCCTTGTGGATGCTGTCCGCGCTCCAGAGGTAGAGTGCGCCGACACTTGGAGTCGACGAGGAGCGGTGTCAGCACTTTGAATCTCTTTCACGTAGATCTATGGCCTCACCCGACGCCCGCGACGAGAGAGGGGATACTGCGCGTCCTTGCGAAGCCGGTGAGGCCTCCGACGACACACAGGGTGCCCATGACATATGCTGGGTACGCGGACTGGTCATGGTGTCAGTCACAGCGACTCAAGTTCCTGCAGCTGTGCTCACCATGATGGATCGAGGTCGCTGAGGGGTGGTGGGAGACGGTGGGAGAGGGGCGGACGCAGATGGTTGCCGGGCGTGTGCGCGACCTTCGTCTATTTACCCCGCATTCCTGTAGGCGCGCGTTGTGATCGGAGATCGCGCGGGAGAGACGCCACGTTTCTTGTGATTTATGTACTTGCTCTCATGAGCCTCATCGCCTTGACTCAGCTGCCCTCGGGAGTCGTACTTCCGTCTCCCTGTCTTACAGAGGGCGACGTTGCCAAGACCTGGAGAAGCCACTCTAGACATCTGCTTTGACCATACCTGGGTCCCGTACCCCGACGTCGAGACCAGAGCGACGCCGTCGGCTGTACTCGCATTTCGGGAGCTCGGATTTATCGGTTCAAGGTTGAGAGCGTACGCCGTGACACAGCTCAGGTTCTAACGCGTAACCCCCTCCCCTCTCTGAGAATTCACTACTTGGTAAGTTCGCTCGCTAGCAGACAGTGCTGTCACATCCTCTCACTTGGCGCACCTGCTAGGGTTCATAAGTTCATGCGTTCATGGGGCGCGCCTCATGACAAACGGATTCGACAGGCCCTTCGGTCGTGTCTATGAATCACTGGCCCTCGCCGTCAATATCCACTAGTATTGGTACTTCTAGCTTCTAGAGCTTTCTCAGCCCGCCCAAGAGGTTTGCGCAACGCCATAGGCCCATAGCTGTGGCTTAACCTTCGATACCGCCTCCGACGAGGGCGTGACTACTTACCAAGTCAGTACACGGCCTTTTCGATCCAGTCAGCTCCAGAAAATTGTAGGTAAAGGTCTCTTATGGCCGCCTGGCGTAATGGCAACGCGTCTGACTACGATCACCGGAAAGGTGTGGTAATCAGGAGATTGCAGGTTCGACCCCTGCGGTGGTCATTGGCCTGGGGCACAATCTTTTGCCCCCCCCCCCCTTGGAATTAGTCAGTCCTCATCACGTATCTAGAGCTCAAGTATCATCTACCACGTTCATGCTTGCAGTGAGCTTTCAATCTGTGGGCTACTTGCATGGATGAGGAACTCGACAAGGAAACGGGAAGCGGGGGCGGTGTCAAAAGTTAGATGGCCGACGATCTGACGGTCAATCCGTGTCTGTGAGGCAACAACTACGATCCGGATGTGTGATGGTGATGGGTAGAATTGTGCTATATATCTTGCTATTCAACTCATGGATATCCCCCGGCCAACCCTTCCACTGGTAGTACTGGCAGTGTTTGTGACACTGTCCACCAACATTGTAGACATCCACTCACCAGCGTCGGAGATGTCTCGCATCTGCTTCGAAGTCAAGGGCAACCTGAAGCTCCTTCAACAGTCGCTTTACCCGCCTAAGCCACACTGGATCCCGGACCAGCTTTCGGACTTGTCTGGACGCGTTATGCTTGTCACCGGTGCGTCTGCGAGATTTCGGACCTCTGCTCCACCATGTCGGGAAGCTGAACCAAGACGGTGTGCAGGTGGTAACACGGGCATCGGCAAGGAAATCGTCAAAGAGCTCCTGAAGCACAACGCGAAGGTATATATGGCATCCCGGAACCGCGAGAAGGCCCTTGCAGCCATCGAGGAGCTCAAGACAGAGACGGGGAAGGGGGCGCACTTCATCCAACTCGACCTTAACAGTCTTGCGTCGGTCCGGAAGGCGGCGGAAGAATTCCTCTCGAAGGAAGAGGCGCTCCATACGCTCTTCAACAATGCGTTCGTGACTTTGTGCTCTCCGTCCACATGCTGGTGCTGACGGCAGGTCGTTCCTAGAGGTGTGATGTGGGCTCCCGTGGCGGACGTGACAGCAGACGGGTACGACATGCAGTTCGGCACGAACGTCATTGGGCCATTCCTCTTCACCCAGCTGCTCTTGCCCGCGCTCCTCAAGGGCAAGGCATCTTCCCCAGACGGTCACGCGCGCATCGTCATGACGTCCTCTGCATATGCGTACCTCGGGCACCTCGATTTCGAGACATTCAAGGACGGAGCGGCGCGCCGGAAACTGAGCACGGAGGAGTTGTACAACCAGAGCAAGCTCGCTGATGTCCTCGTCGCGTTTGAGCTCGCGCGGCGGTATGGGGAACAGAGGATCGTCACTGTTGCGCTGCATCCGGGAATCTTGAAGACGGAGCTGATGCGGCATATCAATGCCGTGAAGAGGGCAGCCTTGGTGCGTCGTTCCGGGGAGACCTGATGGATATCACGGAGACTGATCGGCCTGTACATCGCTAGCATATTGTCCACTGGCCGGTACCAATGGGTGCGATCACGCCTTTGTACGCCGGTGCCGCACCAGAAGGCCTGAAGCTGAACGGAAAGGTAAATAACTTCTTCGTGTGCCAGTGCAAGTACTGTGATGACGATCGTTGACACATACTGTGATATGCAGTGGCTTATCCCCTGGGCGCGAGAGGAGAAGTGCTATAATGAACAGGCGTATGACGAAAAACTCGCTGGCCATCTGTGGGATTGGCTTGAAGAGCAGGTGAAGGGGCCTTGGGTAGATTTCTTTATAGAGGACGGTAGACAGTGAGCACGGACGAAATATGCACGGACACTCACCACCATCTGCGGAGAATAAGATCGTTTTGCCATACAACGGAGGTCACCGGTCAGGCGTACGTGAGTCGAGGTCTCAATACGCGGACATGTCTTCTCCCGTATCTCCTGTAGACGATTGGATGGGCCTACAGAGGGGGGACGGACGGCGCGGACATGGCGGAGTGGAGCTTGAAGTTCGAGCTTGACAGGCGCTCAAGTTACATTCCTTCCACGAAGCGTCTCTGCAAGTATTCTGGCCTCGGTACTACTGACACTGTCCTGGCCATGTCTTCTGACCATAACGAGGCCTCTCTTCTCAGCAAGACCACCTCTCAGTTCGTTGTCTAGAATTTCAGGCATATGGCACACCCGTCGAGGTCAGCACGACATAACAATGGTACGAATTCGTATTTGTGCGGTGATAGATATGGCCGCCTGGCGTAATGGCAACGCGTCTGACTACGATAAGCTCATCAGCGGTGTAATCAGGAGATTGCAGGTTCGACCCCTGCGGTGGTCAATCGCCCAAGGAAGATATTGCTTTTTTGTTGCCCTCATTCCGAGTCTCGATCCGCCCCGGCGCCTAAGCGAATCTCTTTCTCTGCTCACGACCGTCATGGAGAGCTTACCCGAGAAGAATGAGGAATACGGCACGAAGGAGTACTGGTAAGTCCAATGGACCACGAAGCTCCAGAATGCCGACGGGCCATATGTGCATTACAACTTACTCGGACACATCCAGGGATCGGCGATACACGCAGTCAGGCACTCCGAGTCTCATGGGTCCTACTCACTCTCGTTGCTGACAGAACGGTCTTAGAGAGTCGGAAGACTTTTCCTTCGATTGGTTCAAGTCTTATCGGGATGTTGCCGATATCATGCGCGAGCTCATCCCGGACAAATCGTCAAGGATCCTGATGCTGGGATGCGGCAACTCTACACTCTCGCAGGACGTATGTCTCTGTCAGATTAACAACCTGCTCAGATCTTGCTGACGACGACACTACAGATGTACGATGACGGCTACAAGAACATTGTGAACATCGACGTGAGTGCTCTTCCTCATCCACGTCCCACCATCATCCTTGCTGACTTCGGGAGATGGACAGTATTCCGGCATCCTCATCGAAAAGATGCGCCACAAACATGGGGAGACCGCGCCTGAGATGGAATGTAAGACCTCTGTAATCGTCTTTCGGGCCTCTGCAGTACTCATTTTAGGAGTCTCCCAGGGCACGAGATGGATATTCGCGACCTGAAGTTTGAGACGGATTCGTTCGACGTCGCGATAGACAAAGGCACGTCCCATTGCCCGAGCTTTCTGCTAATAGCACAGAAGATATTCACCGTCGTGTTTTTCCAGGAACGATGGACGCTATGATGACAGCCAAAGCCGACGTCTGGGTGCGTAAAGCCAACTCGCCATGGTCCGCTCCTCTTTCCTCTGACGCCGCACATACTATCTATGTATTTCAGGATCCGCCAGAAGACGTTGTGCAAAACTGCAACCGCGAGGTTGACGAAGTGTTAAGGTCCGTCTCCCCTCTCCCCTTTACCTCTCACCACATTCGACTCACTAACTACTACCTATCATCCCCAGGGTCCTTCGTCCCGGCGGAATCTTCATCTACCTCACCTTTGGTCAACCACACTTCCGCCGCCGGTACCTCGACCGCCCGAACACGACGCTCGAAATTCGCAAGCTCGGCGAAGCCTTCCATTACTACTTGTATATCGTACGAGCATAGCAGCTTCGCGAGCAGAGAGACGAAAGCAAGAATTACATCAACATCGTAGACCGCAACTCGGTGAGCGGCAAGCGGCCGAGTCGGCTGTGAGCAGCACTCGTACACTGCTACATTTTGTGCGCCCTTGAATTTCCACCATATGCCAAGATCGCAATCATTTTCTTCCGGCCGAGTGGTTATTGCAGATATCTCGCTAGGATGGCGGAGTGGAGCACGTTGAGTTCGGAAGCGCTTTAGCCCCATTCCGAGTTTCTCGGGCTTGCATGAAGCGTCTGTGATGTCATCGCCTCCAAGCCGCGATGGACTGGTTGTTGCGCTCACCACCCTTGCCTTCATACCACCACCATGTCTTCCGATACTAACTCGCATGCCTCTCTTCAGCAACACATGGTTTCCAAGTCTCATTCTCTCCTCGAGAATGTCAGACACGAGGCACAAGAAACTGCTACACACGGTTGGCAGGCGTTCGCGTCTCTCTCCTGGCTCTGGCCTGTCCGCGGCATTTTGTTCTCAATCATGCGTACGCAAATATTCGTTGCTCTGCTCATAACGGACTCACGAAACGTTCTTGTGTGTAGATCCGGAGATCATTCTCTCCGTCCGTCACGCCCTTCTGAAGTCACTTGTCGCCTCCGCAGTGATATTCGGCGTCCTCGCATTCTTCACCTTCGTCCCACAAATGGCCATTCTCGCCATCTTCACGGGCCCATTGGCACCCATCATCGCGCTCATCGTCGTCGGCGCTGAGTCCATCCTCCTTATCTCGTTCTTGGGTCGCGCGCTGTTCATCGAGCCAGCGCTCACCCACGTGTTCGACGCGACCCTCGCCGCACAGGGGCAGAGCCAGCTCGTCAGGGATGGGAAGGCCAGGGCGCAGAGCTCCGCTACACGCAACGTGGGCAGCGCACTCGTCAAGCCGCTCCAGGCGTTCTCCAAGGATGGCATGATCCGCTACCTCCTCACGCTGCCCCTCAACATGATCCCTGTGGTCGGCACCGTGCTGTTCCTCCTGTACAATGGGCACACTAGCGGGCCTGTCTGGCACTCGCATTATTTCGAACTCAAGGGATTCTCGAAAAGTCAGCGGACTGCATTCGTCGAGAACAAGAGAGCAGAATACACGGCGTAAGTGCAAGTTGCGCTTCTCTGCCCAATTGGAAGTCTGATGTGGTACCTCTAGGTTTGGCATGATGACGCTGCTGTTCAACTTTATCCCGCTGGTGGGACTCCTCTTCAGCTTCACGAATACTGTTGGTGCCGCCCTGTGGGCGGCCCAGTTGGAAGCCCGAGCGAACCTCATCGACAGCCAGGTTCCTCCAGACCAGAAGAAGACGCAGTGATGTCTGCCCATGCATCGCAATTACGACCGACATGAACGTTGCGTGGGGTTATGGACTTTGAAATACACGCACATGGCTTGTAATACTTGTACTTTAGCATATCGCGCTGTGGTAGCCTAGTTTTGAGTTAGACGAGAATGGCATCGACGACATGATGCCACAGTGATTGAACGTGCTCCCCGTATTCCATGCATCTCCGACTCTTCGTTGTTGCAGCGGAAGTCACGACATATGTGTGTCTGCTTTCGGCGATGTCAGGATGTCACGA